GCAATGCACAGTGGAGGACCGCATCGGATGCGCTAGGCGTTTTGGACGCACTGATAAATGAGTGCACCAGAACACACGAGGGTTATTCGTAATGGTTCTCCAATGCATTTGGCGCCGCAAACAACACAGAAACTCAAAATTCGTGGCTTTTTCCACAGCTAGAACCATCGGTCCAACTAAGAGATGAGAAAATAGCGGAGTTTGTGAATCACCATATAAACTAACTTTGATACCTTGATCATGCGTTTTTGCCTATAAATTATGCCTAGGAAACAAACAACATTTCGACTACTTTTGCACAGATCAGACTGCAAAGCATGTAGTGATTCGGTGGGCCGAATTGAAAATTATTAGCATGTAGTGGTTCGGTGGGCCGAACTGCACAAAACGCATGATCGCACTGACTGCTCCGGTGCGCGTCGCTATTTATTTCTGCGTGTACTTACATTTTTTTAAGTTAACGTCATTACCGCTCTCCCTCATTCCTTCCCTGCCACGAAGAATATTTTAATAAATTTTCGCAAATACCATGTTTAATTGCTTATAATACCAGGATACTGATACCGTCCAGGCAGTCGATGTGGTAATCCAATTTTAGTGTGTTAGATTTGTTGTACCTATACTAGGATGTATGATTCAGGGGAATATCCAGAATAACTCGTGCTTCGATTCGCCGCCATTTTACCCCAAAATAACTTTATTCCAAAACAGCTGATAACTCATTAATATTTGCCTTGGCAAAAGCACTACATGAAGGTTATGGTAATACAAAGCATAAAAGATATACGCTTATACACTGGAGTTTCTTGGTCACATTTTCTCGGCAAGTGGCGAAGGATGTTGGCTTTGTTGATAAACGGTGGTCACTGCGCGTTAGCGAGTGGTTCTTCCAGGAATGTAAGCGACCAGTCGGACGGCTTCCACAGAAGTTGCGCGCATACATGATACAGAGGGTGGGTGCTAATGAAAGTCTACAGTTCAGGATCAAAGGGCCTGCCATAGCTGCATTCGGCATTTGGGAGTATGAAATAATATCACTGAAATGGGCAAGATCGACATCCAAATTGTTGTTAGCAAATAGTTCTTGCCAGCTTTCAGAAGCATTTATTCAAGGCCCAGAAGCAACATTTGATCACCTTTACAAAGCAGAATTTAAATTTTTATATTTTTTCCCTCTGTGGTTTTTCTGACTTCTTGACGTCGAATTAAGGAGGTTCGGTCCTTCATCCCTAGTAGCAGTTGCGACGCTTTTTCCCTCACCAGTATGAATTCGCAAGTGTCTTTGCAAGTGTTGTTTCAGCCCAAAGCTCGAACTGCAGTGACCACATTTGAACGGCTTATCACCAGTATGAATTTGCATGTGTGTTTTCAAGTTCACTTTCTGCCCGAAGCTCGAACTGCAGAGGTCGCATTTGAACGGCTTCTCACCAGTATGAGTTGACATGTGTCTTTGCAAATGTTGTCGCAGCCCAAAGCTCGAATTGCAGCGGTCGCATTTGAACGGCTTCTCATTAGTATGAGTCCGCATATGTGTTTGCAAGGTCTGCTTCAGCCCGAAGCTCGAATTGCAGAGGTCGCATTTGAACGGTTTCTCATTAGTATGAGTTCGCATGTGTGTTTGCAAGGTCTGCTTCAGCCCGAAGTTCGAATTGCAGAGGTCGCATTTGAACGGCTTCTCACCAGTATGAGTTGACATGTGTCTTTGCAAATGTTGTTTCTGGCGGAAACTCAAGTTGCACTGACCACATTTGTACGGCTTCTCACCCGTATGAAGTCTGCAATGCAGCCGTAAATTTTCCAGTTTTCCGAAACTTTTATTGCATTGTATGCAGTTGTATGGTTTCTCACCAGTGTGCTTCCTTAAGTGAGTGTTCAGATAATAGGTGTAAGAAAAGACTTTACTGCAATAATTGCACGTGAGTAATCGTCTGCCAGTGTCAGTTCTATTTTGACTGCAACCAGCATATTCTGCGCCTTCGCCTATTGCAGCTGATGTTGCCCAGTTTCGATCCGGAAGTGGACGGTGGCTATCAGTGCGATTGGCTGTGTTGTCTTGTGTTTGATTCTTCAACTTGATTGGGCTCGCAAGCTGCAAAATCGTTAAAATTCAGTCGCCTTTTTTATTAAAGCTAAATAATAACAGAAAGATGCATTCAAAATACCGCCTTTTACTCGAAAAAAACTTTCGCATTTCAAATTTTTTGGAAAGATATTTATTCACTATTAATTCATACTCTGCTTATTTCCCAATTTACTTCCTTTGTGGTTTGCGGGCATTGCGAAGCAGAGAATACGTATGTTGTACTGGGGTTCCTGTAAGCGGAATTTAGAATTGACTGGGCTAATGGAAAATTAATGTATTTTCGGTGCTAAATATTTGCCAAACACCCACTCTTCCGCAGAGCGTGCGAAGGAATTAAAGTGAAGGGATGATAGTTGCCTCTAACAATCACTGAGAAAGTAAAAATTGTACGGGTAACACAAAAGCCGCAGCCTGAGAGGAAGAGTAAAGATTCAGTTCCGGACAATTAGCAAAAGTAAGTGCAAAAGGAGAAAATTTTGTGTAAAGGTGCATTATGCTTGAAACTGGACAAG